AAAGTCACACTTAGCATGATTGTGCCACAACCAATCTATATCAAGGGTGAAGTCAAAAGCTTAACTCGACACAACTTATAATAGTTGCAACTCAAACTCGAGATCACCCATATGCACAACTAAATCTACTTCATCCCATATATATACATGTGTACAAACATTTCTATAATGAATGAAAAATGGCTATATCACTTAACGCAAATATAGATAACAATGTGTAGCAACATGCTGAGCAATAGAAGATAAACTCGAGCCTATATCAATTAATATGGAGAGAATAATAAAAGATTTTATTATCAAAACAAGCTTGGAAAGTAAACACTAAATGAACTAATGCCGAGTGAACCATTTGATGATACTTTTGAAAGAAAGATAGAAGAGTCACTAATTTATTCATGCAAGGACCCTTGTTATTTATATGACTCCTCATTTTCTGAAAGCATTGCAGTGTCTAGACCTACTATAGTAGCACCAATATGACGTTGATGCCAAGGTCTCCACATAGGAAATAGAGGTTGCTAATCCGGAAAATACGATAGCATTGATAAGTGTGACCAACTTCATCATATGTCCAATAGTGAACATCATGGCCATAACCACATTCTCGCCCTTGTCCTTGAACACGGGTAGCAGCAGCATCAACCTCCATTGGAACAAGACCATCTCCCAAAGAAAGTGGAGTTAAAGGATCTGCAATGAGAAATGGAAGAGGTGATATATTATAATGTTGTGCCAAGAAAAGAGCATCGTCAAGGGTGGTTGGAGCAAGTACATGTATAAATCTTACAAGATTTTGACAAAGTATTAACCACAACATTCTCAACTTGACCTTCTCTGACATATTTGGCTTTGCACAAAGCAAGAGGTTGTAGAAACAAATGCTAAATTGCATCACTAATTTAGATAGCCCTTGAAAAAGATGATGCAATTGTTTAAAAAATCATTGGCATGTCTAAATACATGTTTAAAGATATCAAGGAGAATGCTCCAATTCATATGAGTGGTTACACTCAAACCGTTATACCACTATAGTATTATCCCTTGGAGACATATGGGAAATTTACATAAATACTGAGCATTATCACAAGAATGATATATGGCAATCACCATAAAGTGATTGAACCAATGGTACACATCATCCCCAAGGTTCCCACATAAGAATTTCAGCCAAATGCGAGGATTAGTAATAAGAGTAGAAGGAGCTGTACCATACACTGTGAATGCTGCCATCAACAAAGTGTGATTATTCAACTGCAACCATATAGTATTGAGCAACTACACCAACTACTACTCCAAAGTTAAAATAGGAGGAGGCTACTACTTTGCGATGAAGATAAACAAAAAGGAAGAAAAAAAAAAAAAAGAAATTGAAAAAACTATAAGGAAATTGAGATCTAGACAATACAAACGGTAGATCTAAACTAAAATCCCAAATCCAAACACTCCATAGGGACAATTAAAGTTACCCCTCATCTTCACCAATGTGAGTGTGTAGAATATAGAAATAGAATAGAGAAATGTGTATATCAATTAACCCAAAAACCTTAATTTATATACAGGAGCGAATGGTCCGAATTGAAACCAATCAGATGGCTATCAAATCCCACTATATTAATATTAGTATAGGGCAAATCTCTAGTTGCAAATAATTGTAAAAATGTTTACTCTTTACCTCAATCATAAAAGTCTTTGTAGCCCAAAGTAGAATCTGCCATCATGCAACTCACCTCACTAAGCTGTCCAGATCTAGCTTGTAGCTCTACTTTTCATTTTTCAACTTAAACCCCCAAACAATTCAATCTCGAATCTCAACTCTCATATCAACATTAAAGACTGAATAGTCTTGTGGTGGCTAATCTAAAAACCATTTTGAATACCCACATTTTAAGGCATTTTGTCCTATAATAGATTAATGTGAATCCAACACTCAATGAGAGGCTTCTTGTGTAGTGCAAAAGGATGCAACTCTAAGGCCTTTTCATGTTCATCAATGAAGATTATCCACTAGGGGATTTACATTTCAACAGCTAAATAGCATGAGATGGACATGCTAGAACCTTGCCATTATTTGTTATAGGGGAGGTGTGTGATCTCAAGGGCAACAACTAAGCTCACCAAGATTTATAGCTACTTTAGAAATTGGTAAGGTTAAAAAGAGACATAAATAAATTAAACTGAGTTTTATAATTTTATTTAATATTTATAAAATTAAATCTTTAAATAATTTATAATCTACATTTTACCAGTTATTTTATAGAATAAACTGAGATATTCCAGGTTGTTGGATCTGAACACCAAAAGTGAACACACTTGTGAGGATCCCATCATCTTCCCTTTTCTAGCACACACACAACCCACCTTTTGTGAGTTGACAGACAGCAATTGATCCTCCATAGCCTGATCCAACAACAAAAGCATCTTATATATACATATATATGCTCGGCTGTTATTCCTCTCACTCCTTACGGTGATTACAATTCGTATGGACTGGACCCAAGTAACACTAATTGAAGTACACAGGTGGATTACTTATATAGACATTTTTTATACTATTCTATCCAGGGCTTAAGTACAGGACTCGACAGCTTAGATGAGTTTCATTACATGTTGGATGTTCATGCTGACATGGAGTTTCATGTTGTGACAGAGTTTTAATAAGACAACAAGCTGACGTCTGTGTATAAGGGTATGAATTATCTTCTGGATTTCTAGCCACCCCTGTATAGAAGACCGGTAGCTTGCAAAATCTAAGTGTGAGATCTCGTAGCGTGTAGACCGTTTAGTGGGTTTTTATATAGGCAAGACCTGAAGAAGACTAAGAAATCCAAGCACACCCTCTGCACCTCATAATATGCTAGTAGCATCTGACAAGTTTGAAAAACCTTCAGGTGGTGCTGATGGATTGTTTGTCCGTGCAATCTGAGCAGTGGCCTGGATTCACTCTCTCAACCGATAAAACAGACGTTTGTCAAAGCAAGGAGACTTCTTGGAGACAGTAATATGGTGGTAACTAATCAGCTTTGATATCAACTTTGATGTATGCTTTTTTGCGTGTTTGCAGCTCCAAAGTACAGGACCATGCTTGCTTATCAAAGTGAGACTTATCAAAGTGAGACTTATGGAGCTTATCAACCCCAGTTGACCCTGATTTTGGAATCTGACATGCACGGACTTTGTTATCAGTCCAAAGGTGAGCGAAGAAACAAGGGTTGCTTAATAATCAGTGACAGTAACACGAGAATACAAATCAGCTACAAAGTGGATGGGCAGGATGTCCTCGAGCAGGGATTTGCACGACTTCCCTGTTAGTGGAAAAGAAAGATGCCCACGCATGGAAGATGTCAAGCATCTGGTTCTTTTTACGTATCTTCTTTTTTTATTCTGCAAAGTCTGTACAACTCCACTTGCAGGGCCATCTTGGGAAAGAAAAAGAGCAAGCAGGCAGAGCTCCCAAAGATGAGCAGTTGTGCCGCGCATGGATGTGGTCGGGGAGGGACAATGGCCGAAACGTCTGACGGCCAAAAGTCCACAAAAATGCTTGCTTTGCCGCGTCTTTTACGATGAGTATGATGATGATATTTTATATGTGATCTGGGTCTTCTCCGCTATCCAGGCCTGGTTCTCTACAAGCCGCATCGCAACTGATAGCTGAGACTCGGCCGCTAGCTGAGGGCCGCTAATAGGGACGACTACTACTGGAACTACACATCCCTAGTCGGCCTGGCCTTGAAGCGTCTCGCTTCCAAATGGACATGCTCCTCGACCACTCCTTCTACCGCAAGTTCGCCAGTTGCGCCCAGCGCCTCGACTATGCTATCCTCTTCGAGGAGCCGCTCTGCATCTCACAAGACGGCCTCAACTTCTCACGGGCGCGCCCGAATGGGTGGAGTGGTGGTGGACAAGCAGCCATGCGACATGCTCACGACGAGTGAGCTCCGGCCGGCGATCGAGTTTGCGCAGAGGCTGGCGTGTGCTGCGGAGAGGAGTTTGCTGTGGATGCGTCGCGCTTCTGCTATCAAGAGTTTATCAGATGGAGGGCCGCAGTGCGTGAGGTGGCCGACGAACCGGCGGTGGTGGCTTCCAAACCCTAGCGAATCATCACCGAAGTGACGGACCGTATGATCTCTTTTCCCACGATGAGTTTTTGCCATATCACTACCCCATCGCAAAGGAGGTGTTGGAGCAAGCACGGGTGGTGGTGGAGGCCGGTGGTTTCCCCGGCCTGCCCCTTATTTTGCCATTCTCTCGTTGCCCTAAAAACACATGCTGCTTGGTGAAACTCATGGACTGGAACTTCATGATCGCCACGTACAGACTAAGCTGCTCTGGACCTTGAAGGCATGGTGGCAGTCAACGCCTATGGGAGAGCCGTCCACGATGAAGTTCTCGTGGCTCTAGCGGACCAAGTCATTGTACGCGTGCTGCTCAGTTTATAGCGGCAAGGGCTGGACGATTTTTGTAACATGCCCTTTTACGGTTAAAACTTTACATATAAGTAACCCTTTTAATAATATTGGAACTTCAAATGGAGCTAGTGCCCAGGGCTCAGGAAAGAGTATTCCAACTTCAAGCAAACACAGCACAGAAAACCCTCTCAGAACAAGCAGACAAGGAAAGGTCCTATACTCTCGTCTGTCCAGTGGCTTAGTCTCAAACCTTAAAAGACAAATAGAGGTTCATCTGTTTACAGGGTTTAGTGGCACCCATCAAGAAGTAGTCTTCAGTAAACTCTCCCTTTGGGAGTTTGGTATATCCCGTGAAAATTCAAATTTTCAATGCACTCCAAGTGGTGAACATTCACCATATACTTGGTATTTAAGGAAATTTATAATGCTTATAAACATCTGAATATCCAAAAAATCACTGTTAAGTTTTTCAACATCATACTTCACTGGATGTTTGGGTAATGGTTTTAAAACATGAGCCAAGGGATTGTTACTTGGACTAAATTGATCAGCAGAGCTCAAGACTTACACAATGCCAGGGTTGTCTTCGATGCAATGCCTCAAAAGAGTGTAGTTTCATGGAACGCAATAATCAGTGCTTGTCTCAAGCATGGCCAAGATTTAGAGGCCCAAGCGCTCTTTAAGAAAATGCCCTACAAAGATCTCGTGTCGTGGACAACCATGATCACAGCGTATTCAGAAGCTGGGCATCTGGAGGAATCGTGCGCTCTTTTTAATAGCATGCCAGAATGGAACGTTGTCACATACACAGCCATGCTGACGGCATATTCCATGCATGGCATTGTAGAAAATTCCATGGGTGTCTTTGAGAATCTAATGCCAGAGCACAATATTTGTTCGTGGGCCGCCATTGTAACAGCATATGCTCGGAACGGGCATCTGGAAGCTGCCCGGCACTTGCTAGAAAAGATGCCGGTTAGAGACGTCGTAGCGTGCACCGCCATGATAGAAGCATATGCCTCTTGCGGTGAACTAGACCTTGCAAGGAAAACTTTTAACGAGATGGACGAAAGAGACCTGGTATCCTGGAATGTTTTGATCCTGGCGTATGCCTCTCTTGGGCGTACTGTTTCTAAAGCTCTGGATCTCTTCTTCTTGCTGCAGATCCATGGAGTGGAGTGTGATGAGATTACTTTCACTGGAGTTTTGGCCGCCTGTGCCCGTCAAGGTAAATCTGGCAGGAGTCGTGACTTTTTGGTGTCTTTGAGCATGGACTATGGATTGAGACGAAGGCTGAAGCACTTCTCTTGCGTGATTGACAGCCTTGCTCGAGCAGGGCAGCTGAAAATGGCTCAAGACCTTTTAGACAACATGCCATTCTTCCCGGATTCCATCTCTTGGACGGCTCTTATGGGAGCTTGTCGAGTCCATGGCGACACAAGACGAGGTCTTAGATCTGGGAACAGAGTGATGGAGCTAGAGCCGCACAGTGCTGCTCCTTATATGACCCTTTGTAGAACTTTCAACGATCATACGTTAGAAGGTTAGAGATTAATAATAATAATAGTAATGTTTCGCGAAGATGTAGCTAATCTACCTTGAGAAGGATTGCGAGCATAAGATGCAGCAAGTTCAATAAGCCTTAGGAGACATGGCAATGGCGTGACCCTTTTTTGCCGCCCGGTAGACGCACTCAATAACATCAATCAGCTCATCCCTGGGGAGAGGAAAATCGATGTCCCCAGGGGCTCCTCTATCACAGTCGATTTTGATGTGCGTTCCACGGAAGTAGAAGGCCATCCCCAGGCGCAAGGAGGAGGAATAGGTGGTAGAGACCAGGTTCTTCAAATCCTTGGACAATTGCTCCATCACACCTGACCTCTCACCGGAAGCCGCTGCTGCTCCCCCTCGATCACTTCCTCCTCGCATTCTAATAAAAAGTAAAGTTAGACCATAATTTATAGGATTTTTTTGAACTACAGTATATAACTATCCTCTAAATATTTAGGCAAGGATACTTTTCTTTTTTTAACTACAGTATAGCATGACAAGAAGTCCATATAGTGCGTGATTCTAGTGATCATACTAATAACTATCCTCCTAGTTTTAAATAAATATTTATGCAAAGCTACCAAGATCAAAGTGTTTTCCCAAGTAGTCTCTGATCCATGGAGTTCCGCTATCTTCTTCTTCTTGTGGTCACGATGATCACAGCTTCTCAAATCACTGCTGCTCCTCCAAAGAGACCCTCATCTCTCCGCGACACTCTCCAAAACACCACCAATCCATCCGGTGACACCTCCCAAGAGGTGGCCGGCCCGGGTCACAACATCACAGGCATCGACTTTGGGAGGTCATCGTCTTCAATGACAATCTCTCGCTGGGTCCTTCACTGCAAACATCCAAGACCGGGTGAGGGAGTTTACATCTATACTCAGATTCAACCTGGGAATGCTTTCAACGCCATGTTTGTCTTCTCGATCATCGACAGCCATAACGAGTTTAATGGCAAAACCAACTTCATCGCGAGCCTCTCCATTGATGGTGCTACTTTCATCATCAAAGTCATTGCCAAGCTCTTCTACCACTGAAAGAAATGTTATGTTCCTGGAGAATCAATAAGAAGTCTTTACCTTCTGATCAGTTGTTTAGATATCCAACTTCCTGTGTCTTTCAAGATATAACAAGAGACTTACAGTATAAAAATTGGTAGAACTTCCCTCGAGAATCAGTTCTTAGATGATCTTATCCAGCTTCGGTTCTCTTGCTTCTAAATCCCAAAGGTCGTTTGCTAGGTGCTCCTGGTCTCCTTGGGTATTTCTCCGGCGTGGGAGTAGCTTTCAGGCACACAACTGCAGTCCTGGTCCCGAACGGACTTTCAGAATCAACTGGCGAAAGAAAGTATGATGAGAACTCCTTGGCAACAGTGGAAATAAAACTTGGAACCTTCAATAATGTTTGCACATGATCCTCCCAAAAGCGTTATAGCTTCTTCTGCGCTTTTAACTTCCTCCTGGTCCACCAAGAACCGATCAAGAACGTGAACTCTTTTTCTAAGACGAAAACAGACCTCAGGATTGGCACCCTTAGCGGCAACCATGATTCCTCCAGCGGCAACAAAAGGCAAGCACAACTCGGCTACACAATGTCATGAACTCGTAAGTTTTTTTAACACACTTCTCAGGACTTTAAAAACTCACCGAGAACTCGCATTTCTGCGACAGCTCTTGCCACTGCTACGTCGAAAGTTTCACGAAACTCCACATCTCGACCTTTTTCCTGACTAAACCCATGAAAAATCACCAGCAAACATCTTAAGCTTGAGCATAGTTACCTCTGCCCTTGCACGAACGACGCTAACATTTTGTAAACTCACAGCGAGCACAGCGTCCTCTAAGAAGTCACACTTTTTCTGAATGGATTCTATCAGCGTAATCTTCCAGCCTGCATCACAACACCACAGGAATCAGCTACGTTGGTTATCGAGAAAAGATATATCCTAGGAACTACGACTTACTTGGTCTTGCAATACCAAAAATGATTCCTGGAAGACCAGCACCACTGCCTATGTCGACCACCTTCAAACTCCCATCGCTCAGTGAGCAGTGCTTTTCAATCACTGGGAGAAGTGAAAGAGAGTCTCTTATGTGCCTTTCCATCACTTCCTTACGGTCTGTCACGGAAGTTAAATTCATACGCTGGAAGCACGAATGAATGAGATGAACACAAAAAAATTCTAGAAATCTCTCTAACCTGGTTCCAATCGAGAAGCTTGTCAATGTAGGCGCTCACGAGCTTGGATTGCGATGGATCGAGCGCATTCTCGCAGAAGACTCTCGCTCTAGACGAGAAACATACCAATCGACTGCCGCCATGGCCTTGGAGCGCCTTCCACTGGAGCAATAGTTTGGGAGATAGTGCCATTGCGAAGAACTAGGGTTTAGGGCTTTCTCTTTTTGTGTCGATGGAGTAGCGGGAGAAATGCCACAGCCCTCGGTGATCTTGGCCACAGCGGGCTACGATCACACGATCCGCTTCTGGGAGGCGACGAGCGGCCGCTGCTATCGCGTCTTGCAGTACACCGATTCGGTAAATTTCTTCCCTGGTTTTTTATCGCGATCCTTGCGAATTTCTCGTCTCTGCAGCAAGTGAATAAGCTCGAGATCACTCCCGACAAGCATTTCCTCGCTGCTGCTGGCAATCCTCACATCCGGCTCTTCGAAATAAATTCCAGCAATCCTCAACCAGTCGGTAGCTTCTTCTCTTTACTTTTTCTTTTCACTACATTGTTCTACAGGTTCTCAACTATGATGCTCACACCAGTAACGTGACGGCCATTGGTTTCCAGTGTGATGGAAAATGGATGTACTCTGGATCGGAGGATGGAACGGTGAAGATCTGGGATCTCCGGTGAGTTCTAACTCATTTCATCGGCATAGTCTCGAGTTTTATACTTTTCCTTTCTTTTCGCAGTGCACCTGGCTGTCAGATGGAATATGAAAGCCGAGCAGCAGTAAACACAGTGGTGCTCCACCCCAACCAGGTTTGCAAAAATGGTCTCTAGAGGTTTCTATGTATTCTTTCTGTTGTGACAACAGCAAGAGCTTATCTCTGGCGATCAAAATGGAAACATCAGGGTGTGGGACTTGACTGCAAACTCATGTAGCTGCGAGCTGGTATAGTTTATTCGTTTTCTTTTTTTAAAAAAATTTTCTTTGTGAAGTTTTTTCGACGCACTAGGATGATGCTATCGATTTTGGTAATGCTAATCCTTCTTGTCAGGTTCCTGAGGTCGACATGGCCATAAGATCGCTGACGGTCATGTGGGACATTGTGGTCGCAGCTAATAATCGTGGGATTTGTTATGTATGGCGTTTGCGTCAGGATACACAGGTACCAACAAAAAAACCATTTCCCTTTGCGTTTTCTTCCCCGCTCACGAACATTTTGTTTTTCCTGGCAGCTGCTAACCAAGTTTGATCCGTTGCACAAGTTAGAAGCCCACAACACGTACATCCTCAAGTGCCTCTTGTCTCCCGAATACTGTGACGAGGACCACAAGTAAGCGTGACGTTTTTGTTTTCTACAGCCTGCTCTTGAGCCAACTCAAAACTTTTGCAGGTACCTGGCGACGGCATCAGCCGATCACACCGTAAAGATTTGGAATATCAACAATTTCACTCTGGAGCGTACTTTGACAGGTCTGCTTTTTGCGTTGAGCTGTGTTGTCTCACAAAATGCAACTTTCTGTCAGGTCATTCCGCCTGGGTGTGGGACTGTGTGTTCTCAGTCGATGGTGCATTTCTCGTCACAGGCAAGCCAGAAACACTTATTCTTTTCCTTGACTCGTACTTATGTTTGTGTAAATTCCAGCATCATCTGATAAAACTGCAAGGCTGTGGGAGCTAGCAACCGGAGAGGCAATCAAAGTTTATCAAGGGCATTCGAAAGCAGCGAATTGTTGTGCGCTCCATGATGGAACAGCCGAGCCTGCAAACTAGGTGTGTAATCTTACATGTAGCGTTTCCTTTTTGTTTTCGCTTTAGAACTAACATCGCTAAACATCATAGTTTTGTATGTAATTCATTTTATGCCAATAAGCGCAACCACTTGATAGCGAAGTTGCAGTCGCCACCACAAATTTGACAACGAGCTCTTGCCATCTTGAGCCGCGCAATAAATGTGAATATACGGTTTGATGGGTGAGAAAGTAAAACATTTTATCTTATTTTACCATCAAAGGTCATTGTTTTTCCATGGCGGTATTTATGTCCAAAGGTGGGGGAAGGTGGCGGTGGTTGCATGCCAATATCCCAGGCTCACATGCAAACACAAACGTTAAATGCCCCACATTGACTCACATTGACCGAGCGGTTGACCGGGTCTGACTCGTCCCATTTGGCTACGCGACACTAAGCATCGTTCACACGGGAATCAGGACGCTGTCGGATTCTATTCTCCCCCCGGGTAAGTCGTGAATTTCTGGGTACGGACAGCGGTAAAGCATGCGTACGGGCATATGCGGACCACGTAAAAAAGGTGGCGGGGAAGTGCGGGGGAAAGAAATGGTCCTTTTTTTTACACACACTGGTCGCTTTGGTCTCGATGGGCTAACAGTGCATTCAATGCAATGGCGCTTTGGAATATAGTGGGAGTATAAAGAAGGCGCCGCTGGTGCTGTATTCAATCACAGCCAGTGGCAGTCTATTCTCTCATCTCCTTTCTTTTTCTTCGTCTAGGACAGGAGTTCTCCCGGGTTTGATCGACTGTCTAGAGAGTGTTCTTCGTGTGATCCCTCGATGCTATCGCGGGGATCTTCAATGGGGACCAAGATCTTTCTCTTTGCGTTGCTGGCTGTGGCTGGAATGATCCTCCTCGCAGATGCCCGGGTCTCTCGAATCCTCGAAGAGGAGGTCTCCAAATCCTCGTCCTCCACTTCCAGCTCCACCAAGGAGTACTCGGGCGGAGGCGCTGGAGGCACGCAATCGGCTGGAGGAGGCGGGTACGGAAACTCCAAGGGAGGTAGCGGCTATGGCGGAACTCCCAGCGCGGGTGGTGCCGGGTACGGGAGCTCCCAGGGCGGGGGCGGATACGGCGGAACGCCCAGCGCGGGCGGCGCGGGATACGGCAATGCGGGTAGTGGCGGCGGGTACGGCGGCACCCCGGGCGCTGGCGGCGGTGGGTACGGAAACTCCCATGGTGGTGGCGGCGGCGGCTGCTGGGGGCCGGTTTGTGGCGGAGGCTTTGGCGGGCCGAGCGGTGGCGGCGGCGGCGTCACGATTGGCGGTGTTCCAATCGGGTATGGGTACGGTAATGGGAATGGCGGGTACGGATATGGAGGTAAGCCTTGAGAATTATTTGTCACCTTTTCCATGGAGATAAATAAAATGTCCAAAGCGAATCTTAGAAAAAGGAGGTTTAACCTGTTGAAAAAGGTAGATTCGAAATAAAAAATTTGGAGAATATTCGCTGGGGATGCTTGTCCACTTTGTGGTTCCTGTGGCCAGGAAAAAATCAGGTTAAAAGATCCATGGCATGGAAGCGATGCCATGTGTCTTTGGTTAAAAATGGCAGCGCTAGGCTAGGGTTCTTGGAGCTGGAATCATCTACGCAGCGGCGCCGAGTCGTGTAGGCGCGCTTGGCTGTTGGCGCTGCTCGTCCTGCGATCGAAATTCCAGGTATTTCACAGCGCTAGGGAAATATTTCGGTCGGTGCTCACATCTGGGAGGGATTTCCGTGTAGCGAGTGCATGGAGTGACTGTGGCAGGAGAAAGACGGTGATGAGGATACAATGTGATGTCTGTGAGAAGGCCGAGGCCGCTTTGGTGTGCTGCGCCGATGAAGCTGCGCTTTGCGCCGCTTGCGATGCCGAGGTCCATGCGGCGAACAAGCTCGCTGGGAAGCATCAGCGCTTGCCTTTGAGCTTCTCTGGGACTTCTCCTGTTTGCGACATTTGCCAGGTATCTAGCCAGGGACGATTTTTCTTCTTCTTCTCATTTGATTGGGAGGTTCTAATTCCTGGTTTGCTTAGGAGAAAACCGGCTGGTTTTTCTGTGTCGAGGATCGCGCTTTGCTTTGCCGGGCTTGCGACGTATCCATACACTCGTCCAACGCGCACGCTTCCAGCCACAACCGGTTTCTAGTCACGGGTGTTAGAGTGGCTCTCAGTGCTCTTTCTGCCCAAGACTTTCTCGAAGTACCGCCTGTGACTCCGCAGCAACCCAGGAAGAACGCCTCGGCTTCAGGAGCCAGTTCGTCGGGAAATTCGCTTTCGGCCAATCGCACACCGGAGAGGTTTGAAACAGTCTCGAGAGCAGAGCCGGAGACTGTCATGGAAAAACGGAGCACGAGTAGTACTATTTCGGAATATTTAACCGAAGGGGTTCCTGGTTGGCGTGTCGACGAGTTGCTAAACATTCCAGACATGGCTTCCGGATACTCTCTAAGTGATATTGGCTCATCCAAGGTACAGCTTACCAAGTTTTCTTTCTTGGCAGCTGATTATTCGCTGTTTCTTCCAGGCCGAAGCTGGAAACCTTGGAGAGTATGACTGGCTCGCAGACTTGAGTCTGTTTGACGAGCAGTCTTACGCCGAGACGTTCCATGAGGTTCCACAGATGACTCCGTCAACCATGCCTGCCTCTAAGCTTCCCCCCGCAAAAGGAAAATCCAAACTTGGCATGGCTGTCGTGCCAGAGGTTGACGATTCGCTCTTGGTTCCTGACGTGTCTTTCCCAGCAAAGCGAAGACGAGCATGGTCGTAAACAGCCCAGCGTGCTCGAGGAACGCCGACGCACTGTATGATAGTACGTGAAACTGGTGCTCGGAGGGGGTGAAGTAGCTCCGGTACGGGCACAGTAGAGTTTACTGTATCCTTTTGGCATCCAATAAGACTTCGTAAATCTCGATACTATGACTATGTTCTTGCTTTTGTTTGTTTATTCTTTGTGATCCACAGCAGACAAGTAAGTATGCTTTTTTATTTTTATTTTCTTGTGACTGATATGACATTTATTTGGCAGGACCATCCAAATTTTGTTGTTGAGGGAGTTCCTCCCAAGGTACATGTGGAGTTTAGTCCTTGTTTCCTTTTGATTTCAATTTGATCTACGTACTATACCTCAACTGTTCACAAAGTGGCAGTTCTTACGGATCTCTCCGTTTGTGCCTGTGAGAGGGCTGATGTTTCCCATTTTTATCATCGACTCCTTGAAATCCCGCCAGAATGTGAGCGGGTTACTGGCGTACGAGCTCACCAGTGTCGCTGCGTCCGAGCCGGTGCCGGAGAACAATTCCTGGTCAGACGTCAGCAGTCCCTTGTTTTTCTGCAAGTTTTTGTAGTACTGATTGTCGAACCGGTTGGGTGTTACAGCATCCAGGTTTGAAAGCTGGTCATCACCGGACTCCTTGGGACAGCTGCTTTGGAGAGTTGCTAGAAACGAAGCGTCGATGGTTGGGTCCGAAGCGGCTGTGCTGTTGAAGCTATAGAGGCGGTTGCGGAAAGTAAAACACTGCGCAGCACCGATTGTATGAGCGCCGGACAACACGACCATGTCCTTAAGTGACAGACCCTTGGCCTGAAATGCGGATGTGAGCTCCGAGACTGTGAAAACCGGGGGTGGAATTTGGCTGTTGGCTGCATCACGGCTGGCCGTGGTACTGTCTCGCCGTCCCAAAGGAACGGCCCATCCTGGACCTCCGAGCTGTTTATAGCGCAACATATACGTGAGTTTCTCCTCCTCTATGGTTCAAAAACTCACTATCTTACCATGAAGACAGAAGTTTGTGCTGCCAGTGCTACGATGTCCGCGCAGGAGACTATTCCCGGACACTGGCTCTCCAATTGGCTCTTGATAGCATCAATGACTTCGAATCCTCGTAAAGAGTTCTTATTTGGTCCTGCCGACTTTTCTCCCGTGAAGCTTGCAGTGTCATCCAAAAGAACGGAGCCATCGCATCCCTGGCAAATGCACAAGTGAGTGTTACTTTTAAACAATTTGAAGCACTGAATTCTAAAGGGTTAGCGGCTCCTTACATTGACAAAGCAGTCGTGGAAGTGGAGCCTTAGCAGGGAGGCTGCCATTCGTTTCTCACTTCCAACAGCCTGAGACACCACTTTCCAAACAACATGAGACACATCGCGACAAGTACCGTTGTAAAATGAAGGGCTAAGCTGCGCACAAGTACTTGCCGACAATATCACAAGAGATGCTATAGCCACACACAAGGTTTTGGCTGCTTTTTTCATGATATTTTCTGGCAGGGAATTGATGTTTTTGGTTTGTAGGGAGAATAATGCAAGCAACCAAACAAGATGAATTCGGTGCTACGAAGGAGCTGGACTGCTTGTATTTATGTTCGGGGGTGGCGACTCAGTGGTCCATGCCTGTCAATTTCCGTAAGTTTCCTTGTCATGGTATCTGCTCGTGGGGCCGTTATGTTAGACTTGCGGTCATTTGGTAAAACACGCAGCACTTGGGACATTCACTCTTGACTTAGTTGCTCTTTCTGCTCTAAACAAGTTGTTTGCGTGGGATACAGATGGAGGTTCGACTGAAACACAACCTTGACCGCACCGAAGAAGCTTCTTAAGCAAGTAATCGGATCCAGTAAAATCGCTTCCGGAAGATCATGTGTAGAACAAGAGCACATCTGGACTCCACTAGTTTGCGAGGAATGCCAGGTGCCGCTTTGAAGGTAAGCCCCGAAGAGTTTTGCGTGAATGAAATGCAAGCTTTTTTCTAAAAACTTAGTTCCGCAGGTCAAGACAAGCAATGATTTCGCTGCTGCGCTTGTCAAGGATGAATTGAAACATCTCATTCCTTCGGCTGAAGGGTCAAAGAATTCCGCCTGGTGCTTCTGGTGGTGGTACCAATCCGCCAGCGGAGTGAGCCATTTTTTTCCGGCAGTCGTTTTCACGATGCACTTTGTTTATTGCGCTTGTCTCTCTGGATCAACTGGCCCCAGGTAAGCAGGGAGTTGTTTTGTATTTCGCGAGCTTCTAATGCGTGTTGGGTTTAGTGTAATAGGATTTTCTAAGCTGGCTTAATCATGATGGCGAGGTTTTGTTTCCTAATAGAAGTATGCACCAATCATTGTCGGAAGTTTAGTGCAAAAACATTCATTCAACCCGGAAAACATTAAGCTACTTAGCACTGAGAACCACTACTCACGCAACTATCATCAAGGTAAAGGAGTTTTATGGCATTCACGGAGGCCTTGGACTTAACTATGATTCGGGCAGGCGAACTTGTGTTGGTGGGGAAAAAGAGAGACAGCGGGTCCCTGGAAGCACAAAACAGGCGTCCTTGGGATGAGATTCAATAGTGCGAGTCGAAATCTCGAAGCTCTCGCCGATCGTCGCCGACTGTGTGCTCCTGCTTCAGCAGCTCCCGGATATGATCCTCTGGAAAAGACAAAGACGGAACGTTCAGGAAGAGCGGCAGGAAGGCTCCCGGGAGGCAGCAGCAGCAGCTCAAGGAAGCATGTCTCGAGCCAAAGTACTCGGTCAGTAGTAAAACTCTTTCCCTTCCATCATTTCTCTCTGGAGGCATGCACTGTCTCAGCTTTGCTGCGTGCTAGTGCGCAGTTCCCAGGAACTTTAGATTGCTCGACGAGCTGGAGCGAGGAGAGAAAGGACTGGGCGATCCCGCCGTGAGCTTAGGAATGGACGACGCCGACGATTTGCTCATGTATTCCTGGCGAGGAACCATCCTGGGCCCTTACGACGTAAGTGCTTGTCTTAAGTTAATTGTTCCAGTGTCCCGTGTTTTAATGCCTGGTTTTTCTTGTAGTCTGTTCACGAGGGTCGCATCTACCAGCTCAAGCTTTACTGCGACGATGACTACCCGAGCAAGCCCCCGAGCGTGAAGTTCCAGTCAAGGATCAACATGACGTGCGTGAATCAGGAAACTGGACTGGTAAGTACACTCACACTATTGGCGAGGAAGGAAGGACAGCTATACTGTTTCTTGCCTCTCCTTTTCACTCGCCCGAGCGAGAGCTTTCGCGTTTTACTAGATAGATAGATCGATAGTAGTTGTGTTTATAGTCACCGCAGTCACTAGAGAGCCAAAGAGAAGATTTAAATGCAGTAGATTTGTTGATTTCCTTTCAGTTTCGATCCTCGTCGAGGAGAAGATGCTAACGCATTTTTTCTTTACAGATTGACAGCAAGAACTTTGCGATGCTTGCGGACTGGAAGCCGGACTTCACGATGGAAGATGTGTTAACGCAGCTGAGAAAAGAGATGGCCGCCAGCCACAACAAAAGATTGCCACAGCCAGCCGAGGACAGCATCTTCCTCTAGCCCGGAAAACACGCAAGTGCTCTTCGCAAACACCCGCTCGCTGCCCGGGATCTTCTAGAAATCTGACTCTTTTGGCTCTTTTATATTATTTCTCTCTCTTTCTCTCTCGCTGTGTTTCCCTGCGAAGAACACCACACCACCACCAGCACCACTGTGGCGAATCAGATCTTTTTGTGGGGAGGAAAAAGCCTGTCCTACAAACCATACGACAAATACCTCCTATTTTATTCGTTCTTGTTGTTGCTGCTGCCCTCTCGCGTCCGAGATTATACGAGTCCTGGCGAGAGAACATGGCAGTGGTTAGTGTGGTTGAATTTGTACCACCCCACGATCACGTCACAAACGCATGGATTACTTTAATAATCCAGTGGAGCAAAACTAGAATTTACCTATTAAAGCTGTGAAGTTGATTGAGCGAGGCAGCGTTTCTTTTTTTTTTTTTTGCTTTTGGTTCGTCCATCCAGTCCAGCTCTGGCTGGCCAGCTACTGGAGCAACAAGAAAACCATCTATAAGTACAAAACAAAGCCGGCATAGCTACTTTTACTTACATTCAGGTAGTCCGTTACTAGCTCCAGCTTGCTCGGGTCGCCGGGGTTCGTTTGGCTGATCTTTAGCTACCACTCTTGTCGGCTGCGCGCGAGACCATCAGATCCAATCGACTTAAAAACAAAACAACGACTTGACAATTACTGACCTGAGCGAAGGAGCTTAGCCGTTGTTTATTGTGCGTGTGTCATGAGTTCATGGATTTAGCATCATGAGCGGGAGCAACCACCACCACACCTGGGCTTAAAAGAAATCTGTGATATCCCACATCGCTACAAGCAGCAGCACTTCCAGCACACGCACGACACGCTCACCATGATTTGCTACTCACTTTCTCTTTCTTTTCTCCAATCGGCCAACCCTCGAAAGGCCAGCAAAGATCAGTACAGTGCAAAAGCTGGAAGGTCTCACAGAACACAGGCAGGATCCGATGCGAATGCCGGGCACAAGAATAACGATGCAAAGTATGCAGCTCTGACCTGATAGGACGGATTTATGCGCGGGAAGAGTTAGCCACCAGCTTATCTTACTTGAAACTTACGGGACAAAGCAGCCTAGCCGCGTAGCTGTCCGAGCTAGCAAATGGTTGTGGCGGTGGCAGTGCAGCGAGACGCTGTTGCGGTGCGGCCAGAGAAAGCGACGGTGTGTCAGGGTCACACTCCTACACCCGAAAAGCAAAAGGTAAATCGTGGAAAAAAATTGCAAAAGAAAACGAGATGAGAGAGAGGGAGAACCTTTGCGTTTTCCAATGAGGTGGTGGTGCAGAGCGCTGTTGCAGCCAGCAGCCAGCCAGGTCTCGTGCATGACAATCACCTGAAACCAAAATTTCAAGTGAGCACAGACAGTCCTTTCCCTGCCTGGCAAGCCGGGGCCCGGGGTCCGTTCCGTCGACCCTTTTGTAAGCTGTGCATTAATACATCGTCCAAACATGTGCGATTAAAGCTCTCTCTGCGAAGGAAAGCAACAACTGAATTAGCAGCTCGGGAAGACTTTGATCGAATTAAACGTTCATTTAAAACGCTCGAAAGAAAACGAGAGGAAAAAAACAGTCACCTTTTGTTGCTCGCTCTCCGTCTCGGTGTCTGATGCCGAAAATGATGAAGTGTGCTGCACCGCCGCGTCCAGTCTGGAGCATTGGATTTGATTTCCACCTTCACGCCTCCGGAACAGTGTACAAGGCAGCGAAGGCGTGCTGCCGGAAACGTCAGAGTGAAGAGAAGAAACTCAGCTGATCATCACCACACCAAGCTTTGAAACCAAGATGGAAAAACCAACGAAGGGTTCCTGAAGCGAAGCAAGCAGCAGAGACAAACAGAATGAAAGCTCAACAAAGTTCCTACCGAAAGTTCCTACCGAAGAGATCTCATTCCCTCTCGCAGCGAGCCGAGAACGCACCCAAACTTTAAGAGACGCATGCACGAGATACACCTGGGAGCGGGAGCGAGAGCGAGTCTTTAGAACATAAACAGGTAGCAGTAGCACCACCTAGAACATGTAATTACAAAAACGTTAGAGCGTGGAATGGCGAAAGCCAAACGAAAACATAAGGAATTCTGATCAGCAAGTGAATGCTTTTCTTGCCTGGTGAGAGTCAAGTTTTTAAAAGAAAACCCTGCGGTAGAACCTGAAGCGTTTCTCGCTGCAGCTTCCCCACAGACAAAAGCTAGAGTTGAGAATGCAAAGTAAAATGGAGAGAAAGAAAACAATGTACCTCTCAAACGAAGCGACTAAAAGAAGACGAGGAAACCTCTTGAGATATATGATCCCCCCCCCGGCTGGCCAGCTTACATCTTCTTCCCCAGCGTGTGCTTGTTGTTGTGCATCCACACCTTGAGGACGTGACGCTTGACGCCCACCTCGTTACAAAACTGCTGGACCTCGGCCTCGTCGTGCTTCTGGATCTTCCAGCCCACCTTATCCGCAAATGCCAGCATCCTCTCCTTTTGGTCTCCCGTGAACTTCGTCCTAAACCTCTTTTTGAGATTAGGCCCTCCAGCGTTTGGCATGTAGACTCCTTGATCGTCCAGCTCCCCTGATCTCGACGGCAGCATGAGCCGCTTCTTGTCCTTCCGGTGGTGGCACTCGAGGCAAGAGGGCTCGCCCTCCACCTCCCGCCGGTGGAAGTTGCGGTGGCAGTCACAGGCAGCGCACTTGAGAGCATCCAGCGTCCCTTCCTCTCCGCACGGCATAAATTCTCCACACCCATCCAGAGCGTGCCCGCCGATACCCGCGGCGTGGTTCTTCAAGCACTGCGTGTACCTCACTGGACGCTTGCTTTTGCTGTCACCCCCTGCCGCCGCCGCCGCCGCCCCCGCCTCTCCGGAGACGACTACGACTGCAGCGCCGCTTCCCACTTGAGCCGCTGGCGTTCCATTCCCACTCGCCAGGAGCTTGAGCTTGGCTGCAGTCTCGTGTATCGCCGCGGCACTGAACTGCGCTGAAATTGGAATGGGAATGTCTTCTTCATGGCCACCCAAATCCATTGCTCTCGAGAGTGGTCCTCGAGAGTGATCAGTGGCTACCTGCCTGCTGAGTCGTGCTAGCTTGGAACTTTAGAGATGACTTTGCGGTCACTGAGCTACAGCCACCATCTTCTCGAGTCTATAACCTGTGCCCAAAGCTTTCCAGATTGCCTGCCTCCTGCCATCTGCTAGATCTCGTCATCCTCAGGAGCTACTCACTACCCTCTTCCCTGCTTCGGCCCAGCTAGCTACACCGGACATTACTCCTGCCAGCACGTCTGAGCATGATCGTGGGATTCCAGTTCGCTGCTGCTAGGCCGCCTCTTAGGAGATTTGAGAGCCAACCCAGCTTAGGATAAGCGCAGCACAGGAATTTCGATGATGAAGAGAGAGAAGAAGGGAGTGGAAGCAGACAGACAAACAGAAACTGGCACACCAGATTTTTTAAACTCTCAGGGATGAGGAGAGAAGGAAAAGAAGGGAGATTTGTTATGTATGGAGGAGGAATGTCAAGGAAAAAAAAGACTGGCAGGGTTTTGGAAGAACTGCGAGGAGACTATCGAGCTAAAACACTGGCTAGATCACTTGAGAGAGAAAAGCGAGAGAAAGAAAAAAGAAATCCACACTCCTGGTCCCCACAGCACTGACGCACGACGAGAAATCAAGCACAGCGGGAAGAGATCGATCGAAATATGGAAGAAAGCAAACGAGGAGAGATCGAGCAGCAGCAGCAATTAATATTACCGACACAGCGCTTGCGAAGTGGCGATTCGGCTCCTACCAAGCCCCGCCGGCTGCACGACGCGGGGCTAGATCGATCGATCCAGCACCGCATCACCTGGAGCAAGCGCCATCGCCGTGAAATCGAGCGCCGCCGCCGCCGCCGCCGCCGCTCCTCCTCACCGCTGCTGGAGCCTGGAACTCGAAATAAAAATCCCCAAGAGCTTTCACATGCAATGAAAACTCTCTCCAAAGCTTTCGGTGCTCTCACTCTTTCACACACGCTCGAAGAACACACGAGAGACGCTAACTAGACTCCATTGCCCTTTATTTTCCCGCCTCGGTGGCCCCATCCTGGCCGTCGATGCCCTCCATCCGACGGCCACGCTGAAACCCACGATATGAGAGGGCGCTTTCACACTGGGGAAAATCAAATTTCCGGGATTTTTCCCGGGTAGTTTATTGGTCCCAGTGTTTTTGAACAAGAGTAAAAAAACTTTTTTAATGCGGGAAAATTGTTTTTAAACTGTTTCACGACTGACACCAACAGTCTGGCGCCTGGGCGGATCGCAGCCGTTGAGTGTGAGAACGGGCGACGGCGATGATGCCACGTGGGAGTTTAATTTGAAACTTTGTCCAAGTAGTACTTTTAAGTGGCAGACATCAGTTTGTGGTAAGGCTTGCAGAACTTACACTGAGGCTATTTTTCTTTTACAGCTATCTCATCACAGTGTTTCTACCAGGCATGGGCTTGTCTTTGACAATAATTCACTGAAAAGGAGCAATTTGGGACCACAAACAATGCATTTGCAGTATCAGATTAGTTTAAAATAATTAAGTAAAATATACTTTAATTAAACACCTGTTTGCAGTACATTTCTTAGTTATAATACATGTTTTGGGTTGTCATCATGGAGGCTTAGGCTGGATAAGCTTGGATTGTTTTAGAGGTCACCTTAGAAGCTATGACAACAAGAGATACTAAAATCTGTAGCTTTAGTTAATCAAAATAATTACTCAATCTAGTAAAGAGATTTTCATCCTCATTACAAGGGTTGAAAGGAACTAATATTAGGGCTTACAGACACCAAAATAACGAATATTCTATCTAGGGCATATTCAGCGGCATCGTCTGGCTATGGCGC